TAATATCCGTGTGGCGTATTGGCATGTGGGGTAATATCTGTGTGGCGTATTGGCATGTGGGGTAATATCCGTGTGGCGTATTGGCATGTGGGGTAATATCTGTGTGGCGTATTGGCATGTGGGGTAATATCCGTGTGGCGTATTGGCATGTGGGGTAATATCCGTGTGGCGTATTGGCATGTGGGGTAATATCTGTGTGGCGAATTGGCATGTGGGGTAATATCCGTGTGGCGTATTGGCATGTGGGGTAATATCTGTGTGGCGAATTGGCATGTGGGGTAATATCCGTGTGGCGTATTGGCATTTTTGGGAAATGTCCGTGGGGCGTATTGGCATGTGGGGTAATATCTGTGTGGCGTATTGGCATGTTGGGTAATATCTGTGTGGTGTATTGGCATGTGAGGTAATATCTGTGTGGCGTATTGGCATGTGGGGTAATATCTGTGTGGTGTATTGGCATGTGAGGTAATATCTGTGTGGCGTATTGGCATGTGGGGTAATATCTTTGTGGCGTATTGGCATGTGGGGTAATATCTGTGTGGCGAATTGGCATGTGGGGTAATATCTGTGTGGCGTATTGGCATGTAGGGTAATATCTGTGTGGCGTATTGGCATGTGGGGTAATATCCGTGTGGCGTATTGGCATGTCGGGAAATGTCCGTGTGGGGTAATATCCGTGTGGCGTATTGGCCTGTGGGGAAATGTCCGTGTGGGGTAATATCTGTGTGGCGTATTGGCATGTGGGGTAATATCTGTGTGGCGTATTGGCATGTGGGGAGTAGTCCGTGTGGGTAATGTCCTACACCCCATTATGATGGACTGTGTTAATGGGGTTAGTTGCTTGCTATTTTTCAACATAATTCCCTCCGAGGCCCACACACTTCTGCCGACAATGCTGAAGCATTCTGGATCCCACTGGTGTGAAAGGCATCCTCCTGGTGGTGTAAAAGGCAGAAATGATGCCATACTCATACTCAAGTCAGACAGTTCTTTGTCACAGTTTGGGAAGCTGTGGAAATCTTACGGTGCCAATCTGGTTAATACGGAGGATGTACAATGAGTTCAATGTGTATTATTCTTTATGGAACAACACTTTAAGCGAGTTTTTTCAGGACGTTTAACCTTGATATACCATGCAGTTGCCTAAAGGGATTAGCATAATACTGGTCGATAATGATCTGAACTTTCGGGAAGTAGTCCATCAGTAGAATTCCTTTGCCAGTTCATGGAGCAGACTGTGCCTCCTTCGGATGAGGATGCTTTGACTGTTGTTTAGTGTCTGGTTGATAGTGGTGAACCCAAGACCCAACCATGGTTACAAATCACCAGACAAAGCCAGTTGGGTCAACTTTAAAACGACGTTAGTTTCCACGAGGGATGGTGAACCGGAGTGCCTTCTGTATATGTCGGGTGACGCGTGGTGAGTCGTCGATTATCCATCATCATAATTTATTTTATCATCATTTTCCTTAGTGGTGGTAGCTGAAGGTGTTCCTTATCTTGATCATCGTCGCTGCTCTCTCTGCCCCTCTTGGACTCGGCCCGTGAAGATCCGGGGTAGAATAGGTCTTCAGAAACCCTTGCTTGCCGTAAAAGGCAACTACGCTTGTCGTAAAAGGCGACTAACGGGATCGGGTGGTCAGGCTCGCTGACTTGGTTGATGCATGTCATCGATCCCCGTTGCGTGAATCGATGCTCATGATATCAATCACTGGATTGTCTGGTCCAGACTCGAATATTTTACAGACTGTCGCCATATAGCTGGAATGTTGCGGCGTTAAACAACCAACCAACAAACCAACCATCTTGGACGCCCCATTGAAACAATGACAAAGGAAGGATTGAGAAGCATCCTCCGAAGGTCACGCCATGTCCGCAAGGATGGATGGTGGATGACGGCGTGGTAGCCGATTTCATCAACAGTGAGTGAGTTGGGTTTAACGCCGCTTTTAACAATATTCCAGTTATATCACGGCGTGTCAGCTTAATGTTGGAGGAAAGCCCAAAGTGATGCAGGTCTCAGACGTTTACCACTTCGGTGAAACCCACGAGCACGGGTATGGTGCTGACAAACCTAGAAACATAATCGGGACGAACCGGGACTAGAAACCATTCTGTACAGAATTGTGGCGCCTTAGACGAGTGGGCCACCCACTGCTTCCTTAACCCGAAGCCATCAAGAAATAACATCTGCAGATTGTTGTCATCGACAGAGAATACCTAGTCACTTTGATGATTGCAGAAATACACTGTCTGGTTGAACATTTGGATCAGATGAATCCTGGTCAACAGTATCGTGCGTGCGTGCGTGCGTGTGTGCGTGCGTGCGCCCACTGAGATGAAATGCCGCAGTTTAACATGAATAGCCCAGTCACACACAGTATACTGATCTGTCCTTGTTTTAGACTATAATTCCGAGCGCCACAAAATACCATCTTTCAACGTGTTTTGGTATGACGCGGTCGCGGATCCACGGAGACACTCTGTAAGCATGAGGATTAATGTACTTAATACATGCAAACGCTTAAGGGGTACTGTACACCCTTTATTGCTAGGCTCAGAACCTTTCGTAATTACGGCCACATATAATATCCAAGTAATAGATACAGTAAACTACGGTTATAACGAACTCAAAGGGACCACTAATTTTAGTTCGTTATAATCGTAGTTCGTTAGAAGCATATATACAGCATATATACATCAAATGGCCGGGACTAAAAAATAAGTTCGTTATATCGGTCAGTTCGTTATAAGCGTGTTCGTTATAACCGTAGTTTACTGTATATACCACAGCGTGTCGTGAAGACGTTTTCCACACTGGCGAAACCAGCCAACACGGGTATGGTGCTGACAAACCTAGACGCGTCAAATATGTCCTCTGTGGTCAGATTCGCCGTCGCCATGGAAATATATCTATAAAAAAATCTTTGACAATATTCCTATTTTCCATGTACTTGTTTTTATGGGTAGTTTAGTAAAGTAAAATACATAATGCACTATCACGTGGGTACAGTTTGAACAAGGATATCCGCAGGCATGCAGTATGTTACAGAGTCCAATTTCACAGTATCTAAAACCACCAACAATGAGGCCTGTCCACTCTCCTTCTTCACCTTGGTTATTGATAAGATATACGTTTTGCTTAAAACAGCAGGGGTTAGTTACCTAGAGACCAAAGTCCACATTGATGTATCAAAGTCCACAGAAAATTTTCGGTTTTTCGTCACGTGCTTCATGTTGCGTGGCTTCGCGTCAGCTGGTCCTCTTATCATGAATGTATACTATAATAAGTATAACATACGGCAGTATATTTAAGGTCAAAATGATTTTTCATGTATAATAGACTAGGACTACAATGTAAGTTAAAGTTTGCATTACACCTAAAGAGCCGGCGAGAGATCTTGTGTGGATAAAGAGTTTTTTTGACAAACACGAATATCTGGCAAGACTACCCCTGCTGATAGCGGGAGTTTGTTTTTGTTTTTTTGGGTTTTTTTTGGGTGGGTGGGGTGTGTGTGGGGGTGGGGAGTGGGAGGGGTGGGGTTTGTGGGCGGGGGGGGGGGGGGGGGGGTTGTTCAGGCGAACGGAATTTTTGCTATAACTGATTGAAGGATAACGTTGTATATCCTCGTTTCGTTTCGTTGAGAGAGAGAGGGGGTGGGGGGTACAATTAATAATCAGAGTTACAAATTACTATTTAACCAATTATCTGGTACAACAAATATAACATCTGTCTCCATACACCTATACTGATATATAGAACATTTTCATTAATGAAACACACAATCAAAACGTTATTCGACTGAAAAAGTCGTCTCTTGTGAGATAATCACTGATAACATGCAGCATGTAACATCGCCTCTATGATGCCCGTATCGAACTCATCACCAACGAATAACCATTTTTGTTTGTTTCATTTTCAGCCATCAAACATGGGTGTATACTTTCTTTCGCAGTTTAATTGCATAGTAACGCGGCGTTTTTATACCCACACATAAGCAAGATCTACAAGTACATGCACGCATAGCTATAACAATAATTGAATAAACTTAGCGACAGGTGAAATTTTAGAGATGACAATTTTGAATGTAGAATTTCTAGTCAGTGAAAAATCGGAAATTAGGTCTGGTTTGAACATTGCACCGAAATAGTTGCGAAAATATTTGGCCGACAATCCCCAAGGTCTTGTAATTACAGGTTTATCAATGGTACGCTTTATCAACACAAGCCCAGTCTCTCCAAAATACCAGGACACGGAAACACAGGAAACTTCACGTCGGAAGTCCTGCATTTAGACACATAAGATTATATTTCGGACATATTACATCTACTTGACAGGAATACCACACATTATTGGTAATTTAACATCGGAATAGTTATGACTTAATGTGAAATAAACGACGTAGAATAAAACTAAGCGGAATCAAAAATCTTTTGTTTACCTGACAAAGAACGCAGTTAATAAATAACTATAATATATTACACATTGTTACCTTTAATCATCTAACTGCCACATGTTGACATGTGTGCTAATTGCATGTCTAGCTTGTATTAATTACCCTCATCTAATGACCTTAGATCTCTTCCCGCTTGATCAACGTCCATTCTGCATCGCTGGCCAAACTAGCCATTACTATTATTGTTAGTAATTAGCCCTTTGATCTCTGTCTGCAATGCCAATAACGACGGCAATATGGACAGGTGTGTTTAATTAACAATAAAAACATAAAGTTTAATACAAATCTCTGATGTTTTATCGTTAACATCGTTCCTTTTCCTAGAGAGGATCTAAATGTTTGTTTGTTTGTGTTTAATTGTTCGGTTTGTTTACACATTACATTCGGTGTGCACGGAGTATCTGTTCTTTCTCTCTGGCTGTGCATGATCTGCATAAGTTGTTGTTTGAGTAGAAAGGAAAGGAAAGAATTTAGGAAAGGACGAATGAAAGAACATTATGAAGTAATTCGCACTGCAGGGCATACGACATACAAGTAGTGGTGGACGGCAAATGTTTTAAGATCATGAACTGACATAGTACAATATTTACACGAGGCTTAAATGTTTGTATTTGTCTGCTGAAGACAATGGATGATGCTGAAGCATGCGCAATACATACCAACAGAATATGAATGTATTCTGGAATGTGTGCTGAAGGAAAGGATTGTTTTCTGAAAAAGGAGAGGCGCAGAGAGACAATTTGTAGAAAGGCAACGCAGATAACCATACAAAAGCAACATTTATACAAAGGGAAAACGGAAAAAAACACAATTTATATTTTAAAAAATTACCGGCGACGCCCATGTCAAAATAGTTACGATTGCAGCATGTTTTGCCAATACATATAATGCTGTTATAACAAAATGTGTGGCACTGGATATTGTCTAATTCCCCTTTATAAGAGCAGATCTGATACCTTATATTATACCGCCGTCATATAGCTGGAATATTGCTGAGTGTGGCGTTAAACACACACAAAAAACCCGACCCCCCCACCAAAAAAAAAAATTTATTATTATTTTTGTACACTGTTTTCCAATGTCTAGAATGATTCAGATGTGGATAAGATATACACTTTATATTCTTTTTGTCCTTTTTGTTTTGTTCAATGTGGATATTTTCTATGAACATCGTGACTCATAGAAATAAATGTGATATAGTATAGTTTCTGTGTCACTCGCTTCGAAACATAAGGGACCCCTGAAGATCCAGGGTAGAATAGGTCTTCGGCAACCCATTCTTGTCGTAAAAGGCGACTATGCTTGCCGTAAGAGGCGACTAACGATCGGTTGGTCAGGTTCGCTGATCCGTTGCGTGGATCGATGCTCATGATATCAATCACTGGATTGTCTGGTCCAGACTCGATTATTTCAAGACCGCCGTCATATAGCTGGAATATTGCGGCGTAAAACGTCAAACCAACCAACCAACGAAACATCAGGCCGAAATACAATAGCACTGGACACAATGAGTGGTATATTGTCATGAATTCTCCAGAGCCTAATACTCAGTGAATAATGTACAAAATCCGAATGTGCATGATGTGTCCTCGCTATAGAATAAAGTGAAACCTCATTAATCCGGACAGTCGTTAGTAAGGACACCGTTGGTTCGGAACCCCGTTAGTTTGGACCCCCGGCACCTGGGACCCCCTCAGTCCGGCACTGTTTATCTGGATGACATGTACGCACAACTCGTTAATTCGGATATTTGGTTGTCTGAAACTTCATTGGGATCTATATTCATTCGGCTCCGGGGGCACGGATGGCCCAGTCGTCTAGGGCGCCGCGATTCGCTCTGCAGAGTTGCGTCCCTTGGGCACGCTAGACACCTATGAATGTGGGTTCGAATCCCGGTTCGCCCCGATTTTGTTTCTAGGTTTGTCAGCACCATACCCGTGCTCGTGGGTTTCATCGTAGTGGTAAACGTCTGAGACCATCATCACTTCGGGCTTTCCTCCCATATTAAGCTGACACGCCGTGATATAACTGGAATACTGTTAAAAGCGGCGTTAAACCTAACTCACTCACTCATTCGGCGCCACTATTATGATAAGGTGGATATATCAATTCCTACAATCGGATGAACTTCGGCATTCCAAAATAAGATTTTGTTTGTTGTTTAACGCCGCACTCAGCAATATTCCACCTATATGACGGCGGTCTGTACCTAATCGAGTCTGGACCAGATGTGACATCATGAGCATCGATCCACACACTTGGGACACGATGACATGCATCAACCAAGTCAGCGAGTCTGACCACCCGAGCCCGTTAGTCGCCTCTTTCGACAAGCATTGTCTCCTTTTATGGCAAGCATGGGATGCTGAAGACTTATTCTACCCCGGATCTTCACGGGTCTCCAAAATAAGAACAGTGGGGTAACACATCCCCCACCCTACTCACCCTAACACTGACTTAAATCACTATACCAGAGGTCTTCTAAACATGCTGGTGGATCCAAAATACTTAACCAACATCTAGTCTCTGAAGCGAACATATTTTACAGAAAAAAATTAGTTGTTTAATCTAATGATAAAATATGATAAAAAAGAACCAAGAGACTTTCTTCATTTTCAGAGTACTGCAGTTTTCCAAATATTATATACTTATATGGGCTGTGTTGGATATGTTTGTATCAGCGTCTGGGTGGCAAACTAACAAAAAACATACATTTACAGTTTGCCTTAGAGGTCCTGAGACTCGTAATCTGAGTGGTGTTAACTCTCATAATGCTGCTCCTAGACTGACATCTAGTCTCTGAAATGAACATATTTCACAGATAAAAACAGTTGTTAATTTTAATTACAGTTATGAATATAATACAAAGGAGCACAGAGACTCTTCGTTTTCAGATACTGTAGTAATCTAGACTTGCCAAATATTATAGACTTGCATGGGCTGTATTGGATATATTTGTTTGTATGACAAAATATGCTGCTCCGTTTGGGGGCTTAATAATAACTGAAAATAACTTGCGATTTATGAAAGAGAGTATATAGATATCTATAGATACACATACATTTGTATGTACAAACACTTAACATGCATACCCTAATGGTCCCAAAACATCTTTCGTTTTCTACAACGTCGATAAATTAAGACCCGGATGTGTTTATATTACTTTACTGATTTTCACAATATATCTTTTGTTTACCGAGATGACTACTAGAAATTATGAAACTGTGTTTAACTCTGACATCAGCAATACTGACAACAAAGATGTGCTGACGGTAAGCAAAGAGCAGAATATTACTCCACCTCAACAAAGAAACTTCAAGGGAAGCCTCGAACAGACAATGACCGTTGGGTTGAATATATTTTGTACACAGCATAAGTACAGCCCGTAAACTCACACAAAGAGGTTAAATTACTTAATACCCCCAAGCAAATTCGTCATGCTTCACGTGGTACCCCTTTGGAGAAGTTTCACTGCAGTGTCAACCTGTTTTGTTGACATTGTTTCAAGCTCCGCCCGTTTTGCAACGAACGCTACCATTGGATTCAATTTGTTAACGGCGTTTTCATTGGTCTTTTGACACGTGACTCTCACATGCCTTGGGACAACACTTTGTTGAGTGTTTATTGCAAGGCTCACAGTAAGACTATGGGATATTTAGGGACCGTGACAGTACCATGCCAGCCAGAAGAGATCGAAGTTAGCGTGGAAAGGAATTAGTTCACCATGTTGTGCTTTGTCTCACAACCAAACTCTGTTGTTTTGGAGGTAGAAGTGGATACCCGTGCCGATGGCCAAGACTGTCTCGATAAAGTAAGTTAGTCGTTTCCCCACACGGCCTACAACTGACATACGTTTCTCAAGTACAATACCAAAACAATTATCCAACTTATTTGATGTTTAATAACTTGACGTCCACCAGCTTGCCGTCATATCAGCGATAAGAGGTTTCTTGTAGTTGTCACAGAATTACAATCCGTTACGCTTCAATGAGTCACGGGCAGCAGAGCAACCACTTGAGGATTTTCCTCCGTTCATATATTCATATGTGTGTACTAAAGTACCCAATTTCATGCTCATTCGACTTGAATTAATGATAGCACAATATTTTGTTCATTATCTATCAATAAATGATGCCTCCTTATACGTTTGCCGGCAATGTTGACAACCATCAGCTGTTCACCATCAGCTGGCCGGCGAGCGAAAAATGGCCGCGGATGCAGGGTCAAAGTCCAATCTGGATTGAACCTGGAGAGTTTGCTTTGTCTGTTGGGCGGTAGTGCGCCCATCCTCACGTTGTAGTTGTAACTAGTAAGATGTAAAACTATGCTGTTTGAAACAACATGCGGTCATCAAGTGTTATTATAGTTATTGTAGTTGAAATGTTAGCTCAACATAGAATAATAAATAAATATTTCACATTAAGTTGGAAAAAGAAAATTATAGGAAGTTGAGAATCAATCTGTTCAACCCTTGAATCATGTCAAGACCTGTGTTATGTAATAAAAAAAAATTATGAAAAATAACGTGGGAATATGTAAGAAAGTATTTAATGAATTGTAAATTATTTAATGACATTGGTATATGTTTCAGTAAAAAAGTGAGATGTATCTTGGCTCTGCCTAAGGGCTGAACATACATAGATAATGTCAATATTCATCCACATGTCACTCGAACCAAAATATAAAACTTAAAGATTCACTGCTATTTACTTATATAATTATCACATGGTGAATGTAGGTTGTTATCAAGTGTATTCTACATGTTTTGTGTTAAGTTGTGTTAACTTTCTGAGTAAAGTACAGATTCTAGTACTTTTGGGGGTTTAATCCCGTTCAGGATTCGAACCCAAACTGCCAGAGTCGCCTGCACACAAAGTCAGCGATCTAGCCCACTCAGCCACCGAGGCTTCCACAAAATAAGTCTGACAACTGAAAGTCTAGATTACATACTTTGTGTACCCCTCTGAATGGCACGGCATGGCTCCCATGGCCGAAAGCTATGAACACACAATGCCTTTTAGAAAGTGGTAAAATGTAACAAATGGTACATTTGGGATAACACTTTCTGAGTAATGTACAGATTCTCGTACTTTTTTGGGTTGAATCCCATCCAGGATTCGAACCCACACTGCCATGTTGAAAATCATATCAATTCCATTGCCCATTCTCCCATCCCATACACTGTGGACATCGAGACAGCGGATACTTGGCTCATGATTCTTTCAGTGATAATAGTATTGACATACAACATGCCACCTTCATTACAGATAGGGCCTTTGTCCTGTGTAATATAAATATTAGTTACCAGTAGTGAACATCAATTCGAGTGCAGTCTTCGACCACTCGTCTGAAGTCCCAGTCATTTAAAAGTTTGATTAGCCTAGTCACCTCAGCAAATAATTGATCATATAAATATGATAACACTAAAATCTACTTTAAGTTAAAATGACACTGATAGCCGAGTTCGGGCTAGTGACTTTATTTGGTACAGTGAGTGAGTGAGTATGGTTTTGCGCCGCTTTTAGCAATATGCAAGCAATATCACAGCGGGGACACCAGAAATGGGCTTCACACATTTTACCTGTGTCGGGAATCGAACCTGGGTCTTCGACATGATGATCGAACCTCTAGGCTACCCAACTGCCTTTATGGGTACAGACTGAAGATATTCTTTTGATTGACAGTATGCATATTTCTCCAGCTCTGTCATCTTAATTGTGCTTCTGGCTTTATCCTCATATTGACTACTATGACATCTCATAAAAAGAGTTATCTTCCTTATGCTCAGTAAAGTTCACTAAACATATCATCGGTTCAAAATAATAGAATCCTATTGTAATCACTTTAGTAATAAGTTTCGGTAGTCAAATGTGTTGCAGCACTTTGTGGAAATTCAGGAAAGAGACCTTTTAAGTTTATAGATGATATTAATATATAAATCTATAATAATCATTAATAACATGCTTGTTTGAAGGATCAGGGATCCGATTTAACACCATGAAATACCTTGAGTGTCTCAAGTGAAGAGGAAGTAAGTTATCATATATCTAGATTAGAGGAAAGACTTGTCGACCAACAATGACCAACCCAGGAGAGCACTGAACCAACTTTGACAGTAGGGCTGGGTCGGGTAACTCGGGTACTCGGGTCGGGTCGGGTCGGGTCGGGTCGGGTAGGTACTGAGTAGGACCCAGGTACCCACAGGACTACCTGGATCCGTGGTTAGTCACGTGATATATTGTTTCATGACAAAAATTCACAATATAACTACATGGTGACACGACAATTTTAAGTCTCTTATATTCGCATTTGTTCATGACTATGAACACGTTCCTTCTGACTTATATATGTTTCAACAAAGCTGAAACTTCAGTGTATGCATGACCACATCGTTTTGTACGTGTATCTAAATACATTCTGCCAGGGCTACTGTCAAACTGTTCCCAATCGGACATTTTGTACCTATCTCTTGACACCAACAGCGGGTACCCGGGTAGGGTCGGGTAATAGGGGTGTGGGTATCCGGGTAGTAAAATTGGACTCGTCCCAGCCCTATTAGACAGCTGCATTCTCACTATCATTGTGTGAGCTTGTGGTGTCATATCAAAAGTAGGTCAAAGATTTATGTCAAAGACTGCCAGTTATACAGCTAACTGTAGTGTGCATGTCAAGACTGCTTATTGACAGTTATATGACCTTGGACAACTTTATTTATGTGTAACAGAAAATGTCAGGTTGAAAGGAGACCCTCACCTGTCAGTGTTAGTGCATGTGGTCTAACAGTGACCCTGGCAATCTAGGAACATATGGAACAGAAATAGTAAACTGTTCTCATTGCTGTATGGTTATGTGTATAGATTTGTCATAAAGAAAATTGTAAGGTCCCAAGCTGGTCACATGTATAAACCGTGATCAATAGCATGAGTTAAATCCATTCCAAATTCGTTTCAGTCTTGCTGCTTTTTCACACTGGTGTCTTCAGCAACCCATGCTTGCCCTAAAAGGCGACTGCTTGTTGTAAGAGGCATCTAACGGGATCGGGTGGTCAGACTCGCTGACTTGGTTGACACATGTCATTGTATCCCACTTGTGTGGATCGATGCTCATCACTGATTGTCTGGCCTAGACACGGAATTCCGATTTTTGTTTGAGATCTTTTGAACTGGTCCCTGGAATGAATGTAAGTGAGCAAAGTTGAAGTTCTTATGAATAAATCCAGCGGCCTGCAACGTTGTTGTGTTATCGTCTACAGGTTAGTGAACAACTTCACATCATCGAGCAGGACTACTTTGGACTCCAGTACCGTGGCAGTAAAGGGGAGACGCTATGGCTAAACCTGCGGAATCGGATCGACGATCAGATTGGAGGAGCTCCTCCTTACCGTTTTATGTTCCGGGTGAAGTTCTTTGTGGAGCCCCACTACTTACTTCAGGACGAAACAAAGTAAGTCAACACAATGGAGTGCAAGTGACCTGGTCATTTATGGAATGACATTTTGATATGTGCACACTGTGCCTCAGTTGCACCCTTAGCCTAGACAGGATCTGTAGATGAGGGAGAAAATTCTCTGATTCCCCCTAAGTAGGATCTCAAGGGTGGATCCAGCATTTTTAAAAAGGAAGTTTCCAAAATATCCAAAATCCTCTCTCAGATTATTTTACTGCCTACAACAAACTACATATGGTTTTCAAAAGGGGGTGTCTGGACCCCCTTCCCCCTGCCCCCAACCCCTACCACACACTCTTGATCCGCTTATGGACCTTTGGTGTATGCCAGACCCTGACATGTGCTCTTGGGTTTCCTTGATATTGTCTTTGATCTGTGTCACCTAGACAAAGCTGGTTCACCTTGCTATGACTAATATGATTCAAAGTTGGGCACTCCAAGCAAACAGAAAGTAGATAGACTCAGATAGGCTAGAGTATTTATTGCTAATGACAATTGTTCTAAATGTACCCTGGTACCCAAGTTTGAGTTTTTAGTATGCACCTCCTTTAAGACTATCGATCATGTGTGAAGCATAGTTGAAGCAGGGAGCGGGTAAACACTTCGAGGCAACCGGGAAAAAATCAAAAGGTTAATTTTGCAATTGTAGTCCTTGGCAAAATAGGCCTTCTTTTTCTAACATTGTTTATGTCAGGAATGGGCAAGATGGAGAAAGAAACTATTTTGAAAAGCAAAATTGTGTACTTTGTTAGTTTACTGGGGTTATAAGTTTATATATAAGTTTATAACACACACGCTTATAACAAACTGACTGATATAACAAACTTATTTTTAGGTCCCAGACATTTGCTGTATATATGCAAATCTCATCCGGGAGTCTTTTGATATCAAATATAGCAACATGAGTTGATAAAAATGGAAAAAAACTCTGAGGCAAAAGAGAGATTTTATTTATCATCCAACATCATTCTTCCAACTTTTTCAGTTTGTAGACAGTAATAAGCAGTGTCTTAGTGTAAAAAGTACTGCTAACAACTTCAGCAGCAGAGCCATTATTGTTGTCATTTAATTGTGAAGTCATTGGTTACCATAAAGTCACAATGGCCTGCAAAGCATTGTCATGCAATTTCACTGCAATGTACAATGTAGATATCACTTGATCTCACCCAAGCAATATCTCCTGTGGGAGTCAGTTTTTGATAAATGCTTATAACAAACTATGGTTATGTTATGTAACAAACTAAAATTAGTTATAACTCTAATTAACTGTATGTTGTTAGTATGTCTTTCACCCCACAGCATACAAAACATTCACATTTTAGTCTTCTATGTTTGTACAAGATTTTCACACCACTTTCATCTTTCATAGGCACCAATTTTACCTGCAAGTGAAACAAGAGCTGCAGTCCAAGAAATATGAAATAACAGATACACCTCAGGCTGTGAAGATGTTAGCCCTGCTGTGTCAGGCTGAGCACGGCGATGCGACAACCAACTCCTTCCAACAGAACGTGTACACGCAGATGATGCAAGGCCTTTGTGAACCCACGGAGGAGGTGCTCAACCTTGTGTATGAAGAACATTGTGAACTGCGGGGGATGACTGCGGGGAATGCTGAGTATCACTTACTACAAGAGGTGTCCGAGCTGCCCACGTACGGTACAGAGTTTCACGATGCCAAGAGGACGTCTGGAGAACCTACCAAGATAGGCGTTGGTCCTGAAGGATTGTCCATGTACAATGTCGAGGCAAACAAGATGGACAGGTAGGAGATGGTTGTTGCATGGTTCCATACAATTGTGAAGACTGTTAGTCCGAGAGAAACGGGAGGTGGGCTTGGTGTGAAACCTGGTGGTTAAAGCTTTGGCTTCTTATGTTGGGGTCTGGGTTCGATACCCCACTTATAAACAATGTGTGTAAATACCTTTTGTGTTAGAAGTGACTTAACACTTCAAATGAAACGGGCTGTCGGGTAGCCTAGTGGTTAAAGCGTTCGCTCGCCATCCCGAAGACCCGGGTTCGATTCCCGACATGGGTACAATGTGTGAAGCCCATTTAAGGTGTCCCCTGCCATGATATCGCTGGAATATTGCTAAAAGCGGCATTAAACCATACTCACTCACTCACTCAAATGAAACATTTTACGGTCTGGTAGCTTCCCCCCCCAACCCATTGTCTCACTGGTGAATTGCTCTCAATTTTCTACACAGAATTCATTAGTATTATAATGAAAAATTCCTCTAACTAAGCATGTACCATTTCAGGATTGCCTATGCCTTGATCCAGATGGCAACCCACATGGATCAGAAGGTGATCCTCCGAGTTTTTGATGACAAGGGGGACCCAAGTATCCATCTTGTGTTTCGTTTCAAAACCTGCAAAGCCGCCAACGCCTTGTACCGATGTGTGACGGAGATGCATTCTTTCTACCGCTGCGACACAGTCCGGGAAGATGTGTCCACCCAGTTCTGCAGAGACCTCAAAGGAACCATCTGCTCCATATTCAATGAAAATACTTCTCTGGGTAAGTACAGATATACACTGTGGGTTAGATAGGTTCCCAGAACTCAATTGCAGGAGTCAACTAAACGTAATGGTCAGGCCTAGTGTTGGGCTTCAAGTTTACGGACATGACAATTGTTCTGATGAAACACATTTGAAACTTATGTCATTTTGTATTTGAAAGATGGTGATGATTATGTTTGATTTCTGGTTTCTTTGGCACTTTTATTCATATTTTATGTTCAAAACTGTTTTCACAGGAGAAAATATCAAGCGATATGCCCTAGGAGACATCACTGCAATGAAATTGCATCATAATGCTTTGCACATGAGTCAAAACGGTTAAAATTCTGAGGCTTTTATTCACTCACAGATATTTTTTATATCGAGACACTTCTGTCAATATAGTTTCACTCTTCAAGAGAACTGTGATGAAAAGGACACCACAGAAATACACCAGTTGTATGTAGAACACAACAAAAATTAAGAATATCAAGTTTCATTGAGTGCTATTTGTTTCAGGTAAGAAGTACATATTTGACATTCGACGGACCTGTCGGGAGGCATACGACCACGCAAGAAGGAAACTGTGGTCTGCAAGCCATGATGGTGAAAGGATGAATGGTGTGGAACCTCTTCGCCGTAGTCGTGAAAGCATTGTCTGTGATAACAATGAGAACACCATTGTTACATCCGAGTGCCAGGTAGGAGAGACTACAACTGACTATATGAAGTTTGTGGGAGGTCAACTAATTTGGGCATCATTACCTTTTTAGATTTCAGTAGAATTGTTCATATATGCATTCTATTAGCAGCATGTACTAGACCAAACCTAAACCAAGACTAAATATCTGTGAATACCTGGGTTAGGATAGGCCTTCAGCAACCCATGCTTGCCGTAAGTGGCAACTAACCTGATCGAGTGGTCAGACTCGCAGACTTGGTCATCGCATCTCAATTGAGTAGAGCAATGCTCATGATGTCAGTTGCTGGAATGTCAGGTCCAGACTTGATTATTTACTGACCGCTGAGTATCGCTGGAATATTTAACAAACAAAACAATAGAAAAACTTTAGAAGAGTCCTGTACCATGAACAATACCGATGCATCCATGATATTCAGAAATATGGATCTTTGTTTCAGGAGCTGCGAGCCCGGCTAGCTAGTATTGAAGATTCCCTCCGCTGTGTAGTGTGCATGGACAGACAAATCTCAACAACATTTTGTCCGTGTGGCCATGTCATCTGTTGTTCTGAGTGTACACAACACATAACAGAGTGCCCTGTGTGTCGCACGTCCATAGACAAAGTGCAGAGGATCTTTATTCCAGGCCTTCACTTGGAGCCTCCATGCTCACACCTGTAGTGAGAAAAACTCCCAACAGTGCCTGGACATAGGGATGGCCTGCCAATGCAACAAACCCGGTGATATTGTGTCTCGGAGCTGGTTCTTCGGGTAATGTTTTATAAAAGAATGTTTTTGTCAACATCGAGGATGTGTCAACATGGAGTTCATTCATGGATAACAATGATGGAAATGGACCAGAGATGTTATTACGTTTCGACATTATGCACAAACTTGCCTTCCCTGCTTTGGAGCAGGTTGGAAACATATCCTGTCTGTGACTATGTACAGATGATGGACAGCTTGGAAATGAAACTGTGTGATTTCGATGATACGTTTCATCCTTAGGCCAGAATCATTGGAAGATTCTGGATAAGGAGGCTGTTTTTTGTAAATTGTCTGGAATTGTACAGATCTGATTTCATTACTACATTAACAATCCTTGTAGATCATTGCATCATTGGTAGTCTGTAGCACACATTACATAAAACAATACATATCTGTGATATATGAGAAATTCCATTTTAACACAGGCCAAAAAATAGCAGGATTGGCTGAGCAGAGCTTCAGAATGATCATGTGATCCAATAATTGGGGAAAGAGGATACTGCATAAATATGGAGATTTTTCGTTTGGACCTTGGCGCTCTGAAGCTCTGGTTACCATTATCATGATGCTGGCACGTCACAAAAAAGTTCACTATTTTTCTATTGGATTTGACTGAAATCTTAAAATAGAGTTGAGACATGTATGTTCCTGAATGTCCCTACCTGAGGCCTTGTGGTTCAATTGGGATGTGTAACCATGGTAACAGCTTTCACATCAAGTGTTATCTTGATACTTTCCTGTTAAAATCTAGTCAAACCGAATCAAATATATTTCCTGTTGGAGCAGTGTGGATTGATTTGATAATCACTCTGTACTTGTCAAAGTTACTTATTTATTTCTATGACAGATTTTTGTAAAAAAAGCTTCTTTCAAAGATTCTTAGATGGTTCAAAATTGTTTTAGAAAAAATAGACCAGTTGAAATGAAGACACTGGCTGTTGACTGACATTTAAGTTTCAGTTTTATTCTCTGTTGCTAAATTTTAACATTAAATTAGGAATGATTGACCATTGAGTGTTTTTCTTCTGTACATCATGTACATAGTACTGTTATTTTACTGATTATTAAGAAACAACAATCTGTTAACTGCAGACTATTTTAATATGTCTACGTGATATTTAACTGAACAGTGTTGAATTATGGCAACACAGAACATTCCATTATACAAGTTACTGTTCTTGCAGGTAATGGTTTTAAGACATTGCTACTCAGGAATACTTTTTAAATTGTACTTAATTTTTTTTATTTCTTTGGATGATAGAGCTAGGTTTTAACAACAATCTCCAAGTTTTAGTTTGTAAGGCCAGACCAATTAGTTTTGTCCTCCCCAGGTACTGAAAAATGCAAAAATACATGATGAATTGCAGCATTTTACAGAAGCCAATTATCACTGTATGCTATATACTGCTATGTCACTGTATAATTATTTTGAAATTTCTAAGAACTAAGTAGAAGCTCAAGTCGCTATCTTGAAAATTCTAATTATTGAGGTGAAATTTAAGATACTATTTTGATTATTCAACATAAACTGTTGTGAGATTTGCAAGTTTCAAGATGGGCTTCCGTACATTTTGCATATTATATTACCAAATATCCTTGTGCATGTGTAACACCCTCTGGGGGGGTTTGGTTTTTTGGGTGGGTTGGGATGGAAACTGTATTTTTCCTGTGAGGGGAAGAAGTGAAGGGCGTATCTGTCAAGCAACCAAACAAGTTGGTCTGGCTTACAGGAACTTTTATTTTGATCACGTTGAGCTGCATACACAGTTCTTTCGCTTGTGATAGGGGTATTGTATCAACTGCATATAAAGGCTGCATTTGTGATAGCAGTTTTGCAGCAAGATTGTGTGATCTGTGAAATTTGAGGGATATCTCTATTCCAGAGGACACAAGAAATTTTAGCAATGTTCATAGATGTTGAAATCATTTGTGGTGTGATAACTGCCACACTCCATAATGGGAGTAAATATTTATGTAAGTTTGTCAGTGAATATTGTGAAAAACAACAGTACTCCAGCTGTCGTTTTTACCAAAAAGCATGACATTGTCTACCATTGCCCACCCATAAATGATTTTAGTGCTTGAACTATTATTTAATAGTTTCCACAAGGGCTTATAAGAAGTTGTAGCCAAGATTGCCTTGTGCAAAAGGCTTTGATTCTCACAAAACCAATTGTTAGCAGGCTGTTAATACTATATTACCGTATTTGACGTAATAAGCGCCCCGCTCCAATAAGCGCCCACAGCAATATTTGCTGATATATTGGCTAGCGGACAATCCCAATTTGCAACCCTTCCGATTGATCAATGTACACAAGACTTATTTATTTGCGTATAAACATGTGTTATATGCATCCTTAATCATGGGAAATTAAATCCTGAAAAAATATATCTGTCATTTATAAAAAAATTCAGGCTGTCAGCATAAACCACGAAATTTACGATTTTTCAACTCTGTTCGTTTTTCACCAAAGTAATATTTCCCTATTTCTAATTTTGAGAGCACCCTGTGCGCTTATTATGTCGAATATGGTACTCAACATTTGCTAATGACCAACATAATAATCTTTGGTTAAAGATGAGGTTCTCAGCAAATGTTGAGTGGTGTGTGTATAATATATGTATATGTTTATATGTATGTATATATGTATTTAATATATACATATACACATATATGTGAAAGTGTATTGAAACTCATACTGAAAATGGCATGATGTAATTGTGTCAAATGTGCGAACATGTATATATGTTTGCATACAGCTGTGAATAACTGTAATTTATTTTCCCTATTCCATATTTATTGTAACATACTGAATGGAATGACAGGACCCATACAGGAGTTTGTGTCTGTGTCAGTCCACTGTACCATGGTCTTTCTTACATGTGTTTAACCAACCCATCATTTGCTGTCACACCGGCTCCATATCGTGGGGGATGTATTTAGAATCAAATGTCTTCCTCATCTTTGTACCAGAAACTGAAAAAGAAAAACGCTAAGAGGCCACTTCTTACCTCAGACGAGTGGAAATCAATGATGCTATGGTTCAGGAATACCAATTTGGATCTTTGAGCAGTGGTACTTAAGTTGATAGATGACCCTACAAGCGGCTGAATCAAATTTTGATACATATGATTAAGCTTGGGTGTTTTAACTTTGTGCTGTATAGAAATGCCGTACAGCTTAATGCAAGCATCCAAATCTTGAATGGTTATTTGCCATATTGCATTGTTTTGATGGTCGCTCAAGGGTTTTGGGGTTTTTTTCCAATGGAACCAAAAGCTCTTGATACATCAATATGTATTGAAATAAAATAATCATAGCAATATAAAATGTGTTATATGGTAAGGATTATTTAAGAATATATACATGTGTATGTTTACCCTAACCACTGGTTTGGGTCCAGTCCCAATGGTTGATCTAGTCAAGGTGCTGATGGATTCCGTCTCTTCAAATTTGTGTCGAATGTGATTATGATTGATGTATACTGAATCATTCCAAAAGTCTAACTTATAGGGTATTGAAATAAACCAAATTTGAAGAGAGGAATCTGAGAATAGGTGCAATTTGGAAGAGAAGCATGCCTTGCGTTTTTCATAGTAACCTGTGATGTTTACTTGTCTAATATAATTAATAGCAAACATGAGTTTGATTCCATGGTGAAATCCACTGTACAGGGGTGTCTCTTTCCAGATACGTCCACTGGATTCACATTTGAATTCTAAAACATTAACATTTGTTGTGCTTCACGATTTCCTCCGAATTCCCAGATGCCATTTGATTTTTTTTAGACCATGATCTCAATTCACTAAGCTCTATTACCAAGGATATCTATTACTAACAACGATTTGTTCCAGATGGCATCCCAATACATTGAAATCTGTTATAGGTTATATTTTGATCTTGTTCATGAAACTGTACATATATGGTTTTGCAAATCAAACGGGTTACCTGCACAGAGCTTTCCATTGTCAATTTCAAACATAGCCATGTTATTTTTATCATTGTGAATAAACATTCATTGTATTAAGTACAAGTCTGTTATGTGTTTTTTTAAAGTGTACAGTGATGTGAGTGAATGATATATTCAGCAGCCTTCCATCTGTGGCAGCTTAAGCAATCATGCAGTTGGGATCCTATGATTTGTTTGTCATTTGGGTGTCTGTAAATCAAACATATCCAGACAATCCAGTGATTGACATCATGAGCATCGATTTACACAATTGGGATACGATGACATGACCAGCCGATCCCGTTAGTCGCATTCCAATAATGGACATTATGACATTTGAGGATACTCCTAGTTCGTCCTTTTGACAAGCAGTAGCTTCTTGGCCCCAACGCTGCAGGAGGGAATATATGGAGAATCTCACCAGTGTCTATTGATATCAAATATATCAACACAGGCTGAAAGAAGATTAAAATTCTGAGGCTTGTGAGGAGTTTCAAATTGATGATTGTTCATATATTTAATATCAGTGGAACAGGCGAACGCAAGATTCACTATCTGGTATGGTGACGATGAAGTCAGTGGGCTTGAGGGGCTTGACGTCTCTAGAGCAAAGCTACATTGACATTGTTTCACCCAAAGTGTCATCTTGTCACATAAATGTTGTTGTCCCCCAGTACATACTCTGTAGCTATTGTGTCCACCCTTTCTGCACGTGGGGTCCTCAAACGCAGCTACTGCCTGTCCAATTTGTCTGACCCACTCCCATATATTTCAGGCTAACCTAATCCAAGAATGAGGCACCAATTCACTTTTCAATCCATTCAATAGAATTTCAGTGGTAGCTAGATGTTTGTTCGTTTTTTAACGCTGCACTAAGTAATATTCCAGCCATATGACGGCGGCCTGTAACAAATCGAGTCTTGACCACACAACCAAGGGATTGACATCGTGAGCTTCGATCCACCAATTTGCGATACGATGACATGTATCAACCAAGCGAGCCTGACCACCCGTTAGTCGCCTCTTACGACAAGCATAGTCGCACTTAAATAGGGCAAGTATAGGTTGCTGAAGACCTCTTCTACCCCAGATCTTCACATTGGTAGCTAGATGTCTTTTCATGTGGAAACAACAGATATAATAAGTGTCGAGCACTTGCAATGACCTTTGTCACTTATGCCAGTTTGAGTGTTTGTGATGATGTTGTTTGGAATAATTTGGGCAATGTCTCTGAAATTTACAGAGAAAATACTTACTTAAATTAGGAAACTTCCACATCTTATAAAATTAAGCCGATCATAAAAATTGTCTATTTAAGGTTAATTTCCTTACATGAATTCCTAGAATACAATTATACAAAAATAACATTACAATGATCAAAATCAGCAAATTTTAATGTTTAGCCAACTCGAATGGATCCCAGCAAAGGTCTCTGAAAGAAACCACTTGAACGCCTCAAGTTATTCTAAAAAGATGAATAGCTCGCGGCTTTTGAACCGGTTTCTGTCACAGAAGAGCTCTAAAGCAGATGACAAAATGTGAGATTAAGCCCGTTCACCGCGAATACGACGTGCCAGCTGTATGTCTTTGGGCATGATGGTGACCCGCTTTGCATGAATTGCACACAGGTTCGTGTCCTCAAATAGTCCGACCAGGTAGGCCTCTGCCGCCTCTTGTAGGGCCATAACCGCCGAACTCTGGAACCGAAGATCCGTCTTGAAGTCTTGAGCTATTTCTCGCGTGAGTCGTTGGAAGGGGAGTTTTCGGATTAGAAGTTCGGTAGATTTCTGATAGCGTCGGATTTCTCGTAGTGCCACCGTTCCTGAAAATGCAACGATACGTAAAGATACGTAAAGATACGGCAACGGAATAACCATGATGCTAAATATTTTGACGTCACCTATTTGGTACTGAAACCGAACGGGTCATGGATAACCACAGATCGGCGTATAATACGCGGATCAAAGCGCCATATCCAAATGGTTGTTTGGTTGTTTAACGCCTCACTCAGCAATATTCCAGCTAACATAGCGACGGTCTGTAAATAATCGAGTCTGGACCAGACAATCCAGTGATAAATATCATGAGCTTCGATCCAAGTAATTAGGATTGATGACATGCATCAACCAAGTCAGCGAGCCTGACCACCCGATCCCGTTAGTCGCCTCTTACGACAAGCATAGTCGCCTTTTACGGCAAGCATGGGTTTTGAAGACCTATCCTACCCCGGATCTTCAGGGGTCAATATTCAAACGGAGTATGGTAGACTCCGCGATAGGAGCGTAAAATACCTATGACTATGATACCCACTTTACCTCATAACCGAGATCTGGATAATACTTGGCTGCCTTGTACACACATGGCGAAATATTGTGTTTCAATGTAAACATAGGAACATTTTTTGTTGGTTCAATGTGAAAAAATATTAATGAATGAATGTAAAAGAATAACAAAACAACTGAACTAATTGCTAAATCGCTGTTTCTCAACTAAAATATCGGAAACTAGTTTCTGTTTAACGCTGGTTGGGGTATGAGATCAAATCCGACTGACATATTAAAACCCGATCTTTGGAAGTTGGTTTGATTATAATGTAAACAAATAGGGACGGTCTTACCTGGCCTGTACCGATGGGGCTTTTTCACCCCTCCTGTGGCGGGTGCACTTTTTCTTGCGGCTTTGGTTGCAAGTTGTTTTCGCGGAGCCTTCCCGCCTGTTGATTTTCGGGCAGTTTGCTTCGTCCTTGCCATCTTTGCGTTCAGAGTTGATAAAGCATCAGTTATTTCAGTCTAGAAATTTGGCCTGTCAGAATGTAGCGACATAAACGCTCCGAAAGCAACTGTATCACGTTTTGCTTACACCTGTCGTCTGTCAGTCTTTGTTTGCATGAAATCCACGTGCAGCGCGTGCACTCATGACCATCGTCAATACCAAACAACCCGAAATGGAGCATTAAAGTCAAAGCGGTCCACTCATGAAATCATTACGGATTTCGGGATTTTTTCGCTAATTTGAAACTTTATACTGCTTTCGTGAATTAATCATAACTAAATACCTCAATGAAAAGCCTCGTATATATTCTAAGATCTCTCGGTACTATGCGCATATATAATTCTATTACTAATGAAAGCACGTACCTATGTATAACCTTCACGTTTATATACTACTCAAAAGAAGTTAAGGATCACCTGATTCTTTCATATTACTATAGTTCATCTCTCATGTCATGACAGATTAACTTTACCATTATGAAAGAATCGGGTGATCCTTAACTTATTTTGAGTAGTATATATATTAATTTTTATAGATAATGTCATATGTTATATGAAGTTATTCGTACTTGCCGGCATTGCCATAGAGCAACCGTTTAAGGGTCTATGTACACGCGTAGAGCTGTGACGAAGCGAACTATATACAGTTAACCCTCATTGATCCGTACTGCCCTGTGGATAATATTGTTTGAAACGTATTTCTAAATACAACTTTCATATACCAACGATTCGTTAAACCGAACGATATGTCACTAGGAAGGTTACTACCCTGATTAACGGGGTCTCAGTGGTGTTTACATGTTACAAGGACATTACTAGGATTTTATTTATTCAAACAAAGCTTTATACGAAATTTTCTCATTTTTTATAACGATCCACGCTTGTGATAAAATGCGGTTTTAATGCATTTTTCGACAAAGTTAAGATATAGAAATAAAATTATAGAAACTGAAAACATGCATGCACTCCACGACAAACGATATACTGATTACAAAACGTTCGTCAGAACAATATACGAAAACCATACGAGAATAAATCGGATTCCTGATCAAAGTTGGGAATCATACGGAAGCCTTTGAGGGCCATTGGTTTTTTAAAACATTTTCGATACTAAGTTGAAATTTTAAGATCCTTTCTTATTATCTTGAAATTTCAACTTAGTATCTTGAAATTTCAAGTTAGTATCGAAAATTTTTTAAAAAACAAATGGCCCTAAAAGGCTTCCGTAGAATCAAGAATTAGTTTTAAATTTTAAACAGATCCTATACAGATATATTTGACACGAAGATCCTGCTCAACCGAACGGATTTAGCATGCACGCTACCGCTAGCTTTAGTGCTGTGACAAGTAAGTAAACAAGAGTAGCCCCCCTTGCTTCAACAACTTCCGGTTTTTGCGAACGAAGCACATGCAGAATATAGCAGTAGATGTGATACATGTTTGAAAGTTGATTTCACGAAAATGGCTTCCGCTAGAGCTATGGTCATAGGACAGGTGATCAAGAGGGGCATCGGACGACCCGACACAGTTAAAGTGCGATGCCTGAAAATGTCTCTAGACCGTTATCTTCTCAAGGTGACTAGATTTCTTGCCATCATATAGGGATTGATCAATGGCATCACCATGGTCCATGAGCAGATTGACCAATGATTAATATCTGAAATTGATGGTACTTAAGCAGAAGGACTATTTTATAATCACTACTAGAAACTTTGAAGAAGTTAACAAGATTTTGTCATCTTTTTGGTTGTACACAACTTGTGACTTTCATTAGTTCAGTCCTTTTCAACGTTGATTAGGTAAATGGTGTTAAGAATCTTAATCTATGAACTTCTGGAATTAGAACCATCTAAATGTTCATAAATGTAAATACCAGTGAGATGTGTAGAACATTTTAGGGCGGTAAGACTCTCTCTCTCTCTCACCATGCTCACACACACACACACACACACACACACACACACACACAGTGAGATGTGTAAAACATTTTAGGGCGGTAAGACTCTCTCTCTCTCTCACCATGCTCACACACACACACACACACACACACACATACACACACACACGCCCCTAACTGTAACTTCTCCCTTAAAATGTTTAGGAATCATAACCCCCAGATTCCGGGGTAGAATAGGTCTTCAGCAACTCATGCTTGCCGCAAAAGATGACTATGCTTGTTGTGAAAGGCAACTAACGGGATCGGGTGGTCAGGCTCGCTGACTTGGTTGAGGTATGTCATCAATCCCAATTGCGCGGATCTATGCTCATGATATCAATCACTGGGTTGTCTGGTACAGACTCGATTATTACAGACTGCCGTCACATAGATGGAGTATTGCTGAGTGCGGCGTTAAACAACAAACCAACCAACATAACCCCTAGGCTCGGGATTATTAGAAAAAGCATTAATGTAGGATTAGGGTTCAGTTGCCCTAACCCAGGCAAAATTTCAAGTGTGGAAATCTCTGTGAGAGCTTTAATGTCAGACGGACATGAGTGGCCCAGGGGTCTGCATCCCTTTTGGCTTTACCATGCCAGGATGTGAGCGCCTCTCCCTCTGTAGTCTAGGGGAATGAGAGTATGCACTGAAAGTGGAAGGTCAGTGGTTTGATCCCCAGACATGTCACACAAAAAGATGTTCAGATGGTACTTGTTACCCTGCCTGGTGTTTGGTATTGAGGGGATAAAACAAGCACTTTCTCGGCTCGGACACAGAATACTGGCATGGTGTCTCCGTGGCCTAACACTATAAGACCTACATTAGGTCTGACTAGTACAAACAGGCACATACACACATGCCTGCACATTGCAATAATCTTGAACGCGACGTAAAAACCCCATTTCACCTCACTGCCATGCCAGGTTGTACTGATCATGGGTTTAATCCAAGGTTCACCCTAATGACAGTCCGCGGCATAGCTAGTGGTTAAAGCGGGTTCGATTCCCAACATCGGTACAAGGTGTGAAGCCTGTTTTTTGTCAGTACATCAACAAGGAATATACCATATTTTCTTGAGTATAGTGCGCACCCAAGTATAATGCAAACCCCCCTCTAGCGGATTCAGTATTTTAGAGAGAACAAAATTCAAACATTATGAGCAGAAAATAATTACACCATACCCCTTCAGTGAATACGGGTAAATGAACAGGTGATAAAAACTTGGTCACAACAAATGAAATTTAACTAAACTAAAATGATGTTCAGAACTGCATTAAGCAGGGTTAAAGATTAACAAATGTCAACTCATCCGAGACTAATACAATCCCAGGTCTGAACTTGTGACATTTCTGACATGTGGACTACCACTGTTACTATTTTGAAGATGGTAACTCTGTGAGAGATCATTTTTGCAGACTTTGGTAAATGAAAGTAATTCTAGCTCAGTTAAGTGTAAATCACTCTTTCAGTTTCACTCATTGATTTTCAGTACTTCAACAAAAGGATTCACCACTGGGCCATCGAGACGTCTGTGACCACGGATGTTGGCGACATAGTGTTGCTGCAGAGACTTCCCGAGAGGATGACGACGAAAGTCGGTCATGAAGTGAAGGATGTTGTGTACAAGCTGGGATCCGTAGTTGACCCCATTACTGGGACCAGGTGTCGGGGACAACAGTTCATTGATGAAACAGAACGACAACTACAGAAACTGAAAATCGACGGAGAACGATCATGATCATTGTGTATTGATGCCATGTTTTTATAAATTTTTTAGTGTGTGAGACTTCGGTTATCTGTCACAGGAGATACAAGGGGTGTAATGATACAGTCCTGAATGTACAGTGTTGAATCTGATAGCTATTACATGATGTGTTTCCGGTCACCTGCTTCAGTGCATTCACTCATTGAAGTGTTCAGGGATAAATGCATCTTCCTCAGGCAAGGCAGTTAACTGACTATAGAAGTCAACCCTTGCCTAACTAGGCCTGAATTTTGGGATGTATTTTGGCTAAACTAACGAGTATGCATAGTCCAGTCAAAATCGTTCAACGAAATTGACATTTGGTTCCTAAACTGCCGTGCAGATTTCGGCCAATTGCAGGATTTGCAAAGCATGTGTACTGTCAACTAAGCGACAACATACATTATCCAAATCTTTTCATTTTTTTTATGAAGGTTCTCATGTGATTTGATGCACTTTGCAAAGTAAGACCAGTCTTATTACAATATAGATCTTGATCATCGATCAGATCGTCTTGACAGGGGACTGCCATTTTGTTTGAAGCAAATGCAAGTGATATGAGAGGTGGAATCTGATTGGTCAATAGGAGGGAAATAGAAGGGACATGACTTGTAATAGCTACTGGTGGCACTACGATTGATACCAAGAAATTCCAGCTAGTCCGGCAATGGTGGAAACTGAACTTTTACAGTCAGTTATCCCCCTTGCCTCAGGAAGATGATGTGTTCAAGGTTAAATGTGGAAAGACAATGCATAACATGCAGTTCCAGCACAAGAAAACCTGGTTTGTTCAGAACCTATTAGTTCCTAAAACCTTGTCCAAATGCTATTGTTGGGAACACACATGTACATCCATCATGTAGATGCATTGTTAATCAAGAAATGTGTTAAGTTTCAGCAATAATGATGAAGATGTACATTCTGGATTGATAAATTCTCTAAGTGAAAGGGGGCGGCGGGGTAGCCTTGTGGTTAAAGCGTTCGCTCATCACACCGAAGACCCGGATTTGATTCCCTACAAGGGTACGGTGTGTAAAGCTCATTTCTGGTGTCTCCTGGTGTGATATTGCTGGAAACCTGCTAAAAACGGCGTAAAACCCTACTCACTCACTTACTGACTGTATGTGAAAAATAAATGTGCTAGAAATGAAGATACCTGGGTACCCAACCCGCTATTACCACCCAGGTACCCGCTAGCTGTAGGTCTAAGGAGATGAGTACAAAATGTCTGATTGAGCCCTGGCCAAAAGTATTTAGATACAGGTATAAAATGACCTGATCATGCATACACTGAACTTGTCTGAAGCTTTATCTTTATTCAAACATATCAAAGTCAGAATGAATGCATGCTCAGTCAGAAAGAAATGCCAACATTGGCGCCTTGTAGTGTAACCATGGAGGTCTGCATAATTTTGTCATTAAACGATATATAATATATATATATAACATGGCTTAGTCATGTGGGTACCAGGATCCTACTCAGTATGACCTGACAACCTGTAAAGATCCGGGGTAGAATAGGTCTTCAGCAACCCATGCTTGTAGTAAAAGGTGACTATGCTTGTAGTAAGAGGTGACTAACGGATCGGGTGTTCAGGCTCCCTGACTTGGTTGATGCATGTTATCGTATCCGAATTGCGTGGATCGATGCTCATGATGTCAATCACTGGATTGTGTGGTCCAGACTCGATTATTTACAGACCGCCATCATATAGCTGCAATATTGCGGGGTTAAACAACAAACAAACAAACAAAGCAAAAACATACCTTACCCTGACTGCATACATGATTGAATTTCAGTATTTATCACTGAGGAAGGTGTGCATGTGAGAGTAATTCCACAGTCTGTGTCTGGATTGGCTACTGTTGGCATGCAGGTCAAGACAATCAACATTTTCTCTGTTGGGGCATGTGGACAGTCTAGTCCAACAGGTGAGGCTGTTTTCTGATGCCAATATTGACCATTCATTCCACTGTTGGAAATTTGTGTTTGTGTAAATTGTAGTTAATGGAAAGTGTGGAAAATAAATACATTGAAAAGAAGCATCAGGTACTGTGTTCCCAACATCTGTAGTGTTTGTTGCAGAGGCTGCTGGTATGCTGGTCTGTAGCTTAAAGTATGCACTGTATTGCATCCTGTTCCATATTTGTATGCATGTGAATTGAGGATGGATGCAAATAATTTACACTGTGAGTCTACCCGTGAAGATACGGGGTAGAATATGTCTTCAGCAACCCATTCTTGCCGTAAAAGGTGACTATGCTTGTCGTAAGAGGCGACTAACGGATTGATGGTCAGGCTCGCTGACTTGGTTGATGCATGTCATCGTTTCCCAATTGTGGATTAATGCCCAATATGCCAACCACTAAATTGTCTGGTCCAGACCTCATTATTTACACACCGCCGCCATATAGCTGGAATATTGCCGAGTGCGGCGTTAAACAACAAACAAACAAACTACATGAATCCTGAAGTTCGACGTGAAGCGATACAATCATCAAACACGTTCCAGGTGTACCGTGCACACTTTTCTCCACAATCGTTCATTCAGACTTGTAGGGGTAGTTGTATCCCCGCTAACAATAATACACTGTATAGCTACTGGGGGTATTAATATGACTATAAAATGCTTTCCTACGGCTTTTTTCTTTGTATGTCTTGTCCACTGGAGGTTGTACATTAAACTACGGTTATAACGAACTCAAAGGGGCCACTAATTTTAGTTCGTTATAACCGTAGTTCATAATAAGCATATATACATAATATATACAGCAAATAGACGTCACCAAGAAATAAGTTCGTAATATCAGTCAGTTCGTTATAAGCGAGTTCGTTATAACCGTATTTTACTGTACTTAATACACAAGTCATCTAGTCTACACAGGCGACATATATGGAGAATGTGTGGAGACAATTTTGGAGTGAAACCTAAGGCATTCAAAGGAATTATTTCTGATTTAAAATGCTATTTCTGTTATCTTCAGCGAGAAGGCAGTCCAGGAAGAAGCAGAAACGTATGGTGGTTTCAATTGAAAAGTAAGGAGTAACTTGATCACTATGTGCGTTCTCTGAATAAGTCGTCAACTCACGCTATACCAAGTGAATAGTCTTAATTCACAAAATCTTCTATTTCTGCCGTCAGTGTTTTGGTTTGCAAAAATATTACTCATTTCTATGTTTTTGTACATGCTAGTGTTTTCTTTGGTAGGCCCAGTAGAGGCAGACAGCAGATTTGCATCATGGGGACAAACCAGTTGTTGAGCCATGTAACCAGGGAACAGGTACAGACATGTCACACATTGTTATTGTCACAACCCGATTGTCATTTCTGTTTCGTATTTTAGAGGACCATGTTAATCGTATGGGATCTGTTCTGCCGTGTAATCCCACCAGGTTCAAAGTTGAAGAACTGCCCAAGTGTTGCAATATCACGGAGGTTCATACAGCGCTTGAAATATAGAGAAGTTAATATGTTTACAGAATTTGTTCCAGAAATGGGGGCGGCGGGGTAGCCTAGTGGTTAAAGCGTTCGCTCATCACGCTGAAGACCCGGGTTCGATTCCCCACATGGGTACAATGTATGAAGCCCATTTCTGGTGTTCCCCGCCGTGATATTGCTGGAATATTGCTAAACATGGCGTAAAACCATACTCACTCACTCATTGTTCCAGAACTGTTTTTTAGAACTATTAATATCCAGCTTCTCGTGGAACATACAGCCATGAACTTGCTGAATTGTTGAATGACAGCCTCCATGAAAAAACCTTGGATATGCCACTTGGCAATTCAAGAAGGCCTCAAGTTCACTAGAGTTCACTATTCTGTCAAACGCCGGCAGTTGTTCCTGGTTTGTGTGTTATATTATCCAAATGGACATTTAAGTGACTAATAAGACAATGCTTAAAGTGCTTGGGATTCTATCAAATCAAGCTGATTTTTCATTTTAAGATTGTAAACAAATTTTCATTTCATATTTTAACTCTCTCAGAGATCAAACATAGGCTAATATTGTACTGTTTCAACCAAATGTTTTGAAAATTAAAACGAAGATATGTATCCTGTTTGTGTGGTCAGAGACTGATAACAGATGTTATTGTTTATTGGTTGTTTATTGAATACATTGAGGCCTCTTTAACTAAGTCCTGGGCCCACTTGCTCAAAGCGACCTTAGCGCTAAGATGTTCGTAACTCCCATACTTTAACATAGACTTACAATAGTCATAGCGCTAAGATCACTTGTGCGAGTTGGTCCTGGTGGTAATCGGAGCTTCGGGCCATGCTCTACATACAAACAAAGAATTTTGGTGTAGTTGTCAAATAATTTCCTCAAAGAGAGTTTTGTCTTAGTCTAAAAGTATGGATCTGTTTTAAGTGAGAGAACGTCCTCGTATTTCAGGCCTCATATCCGTTACTTGTCAGGAATGGACAGATACTCGCCCCTTCTTCAGTACAAAATGTTTGTGTGGTGCGTTCCTGACAAGTTCGCGAAATCGCGACTGTCACGATATCAATCACGTGAGGCGCACGTAAAATCCATTACACTCGCCTTCCGGGACTGCATATTTTTAAGCCTTATGCTTAATTACGGATAAGCCTATTTTGATTGAGTTACACTTTATCCAAATTTAAGTCCAGGGCTTAAAACGAAAAAGGACAAAACTTGATAGGAAGAATGAATATCCCAAGTGTAATGCATGAAGCAATACTCAAGAATGGAATAAGAGCAACACTTTAACATAAGACACGCTTTTCAACTTGAAAATTGTGAGCCAAGAATAAGTTCAAAACTGAAATGGCAGCGGTTGAGCGGTATCAACAAAGCAATATCGCATGACGGTTGGTTGGTTTGTTGATTTACGCCGCACTCAGCAATATTCCAGCTATATGACGGCGGTCTGTAAATAATCGAGTCTGGACCAGACAATCCAGTGATTGACATCATGAGCATCGATCCACGCAATTGGGATACGATGAGAGGCATCAACCAAGTCAGCGATCCTGGCCACCCGATCTCGTTAGTCGCCTCTTACGACAAGCGCGTTCGCTCGTCACGCCGAAGACCCGGGTTCGATTCCCGACATGGGTACAATGTGTGAAGCCCATTTCTGGTGTCCCCCGCCGTGATATTGCTGGAATATTGCTAAAAGCGGCGTAAAACCAAACTAACTAACTCACTCACTCACTCTTACGACAAGCAAGGGTCACTGAAGACCTATTCTAGCCCGGATCTTCACGGATGGACTAGTGAGTTGGTTGGTTGGTTTGTTGTTTAACGCCGCCCTGGATTGTCTGGTCCAGACTCGATTATTTACAGACCGCCGTCATATAGCTGGAATATTGCTGAGTGTGGCGTTAAACAACAAACAAAACAAATCGAGGCCAGATCAGGTGGTCAGGCTCGGGGACTTGGTTCATCGCATAGTTGAATGCAAACAATTGATATATAAAGATGTAACAGAAAACTATCTATTTTATTCGCTTAACAAAAGTGCCACCCAACAGAACAAATGTGTTTATGATGGCACCTCACGTAGATATTATCTAATGATACCACACCCAAAATTCCACTTCATTATTAACCCATCTTCATCTTCGTCTGCACCATGGCGATCTCCTGACAACTGGTCCTCATCATGCCATATTTAGATTTATATTGACAGGATCCTAGATTTTTGTGTGTTAAGAAAATACGGAAACCAAGTTGATGTAATTGTCTCAGTGTTCTCAAATATCCCACATACACTTCAGCCGGAGGCTCCAAATTGTATCCGTTTTTAATGATCCAGCTGTGGAGCTCCAGATCAAGGGTGGTGACGTCACCCAGGAAGCCGCTTGCAATGGCTTGTGGGAGAACTTTCCATTCCCAGTGTTCGATGTCCATCTTTAAGACATCAACACGTCGCTGAAAGAAATACAAAAGTGAATACATTTCCGTACATTATGGATATAAAAGCTGATTGATATGGACGCATTGAATGATGACAAACTTTGACAAGTTATGGTATTTTATTCTTTGAAAGGAGGAGACATCTCCTGTTCGGCAGCTTGCAGGAAATGCCGTGAACTCCGTTCACCTCTTGAATGTCTGAGCTGGATCTCCGCTCACCTCTTGTATGTCTGAGCTGGATCTCCGCTCACCTCTTGTATGTCTGAGCTGGATCTCCGCTCACCTCTTGTATGTCTGAGCTGGATCTCCGCTCACCTCTTGTATGTCCGAGCTGGATCTCCGCTCACCTCTTGTATGTCTGAGCTGGATCTCCGCTCACCTCTTGTATGTCTGAGCTGGATCTCCGCTCACCTCTTGTATGTCTGAGCTGGATCTCCGCTCACCTCTTGAATGTCTGAGCTGGATCTCCGCTCACCTCTTGTATATCTGAGCTGGATCTCCGCTCACCTCTTGTATGTCTGAGCTGGATCTCCGCTCACCTCTTGTATGTCTGAGCTGGATCTCCGCTCACCTCCTGTATGTCCGAGCAGGAACTCCGCTCACAGTACATATGTCTGAGCTAGAACTCCGCTCACAGTACGTATGTCTGAGCTAGAACTCCGCTCACAGTATGTATGTCTGAGCAGGAACTCTGCTCACAGTATGTATGTCTGAGCAGGAACTCTGCTCACAGTATGTATGTCTGAGCAGGAACTCCGCTCACAGTATGTATGTCTGAGCTAGAACTCCGCTCACAGTATGTATGTCTGAGCTAGAACTCCGCTCACAGTATGCATGTCTGAGCTAGAACTCCGCTCACAGTATGCATGTCTGAGCTAGAACTCCGCTCACAGTATGTATGTCTGAGCTGGATCTCCGCCCACCTCTTACACGTCTGAGCTGGAAAGTCTGCTAATCGTTATGTTTGTGTTGTCAGAGCACGTATTCCTCGTGTGTATTTGTTGTTTTTATTTACATGTTGTGCATTAAACGTTCCGGGACGGTGATGCCGCTGAGGTCATCGATTTACCCAAAGAACGAATTCCCAGGCCACATAAGCGTTGACACTATCAACAAATAGTGGGTCCCTGAGCATACTAAACACTCCGCAAAAAAAAACAATACTACTGGATTGTCAGATTTAAGTCGAGAGTTGTCTCACCTTCGCATGACCAAGCTCCTGTTTGATTGCTCCCAATGTACGCATCTCCCATCCAGTCTTGTTGGGTGGGATATGAACATTAACATCCGACAATCCTATGTTATGGAAATATACTTGCTCATTCCGCTTGTAGCTCTTTTGATTCATGCTGAAATGTGAACGAGTGAAACTGTGACGCACAAAGCAGTCGTACTGACGTCATGCTGGAAATCGAATCGGAATATCTGGAGCGATTGAGTTGTGGTTTAACGCCGCTTTTAGCTATATTTCAGCAATATCACAGCGGGGAAAACTAGACATGGGACTTTCACATTGTACTCATGTGGGGAATCGAACCCGGGACTTCGGCGTGGCGAACGCTTTAACATTAAGACTACCCCACCGCAAAGAATAGTTGGAGTTAAGCGTTAAGTTAAGAGTAAGCACCCGCGAATGTTTTAGGCTAAAAAAGGAAATAATGATGACATGTTTTTGTTTCATAAACAAACCGACCGCGATTAGCAAGGCTACATTGAAAAATAAGAACAAAAAACAGTTGCGTACCTCGGATCAAATGAATGAACTTCGCATCCGAACTGCTTCGCAATCTCGTCGTCAAAACTAAAGTCATTATTTATCCTGAAATTAAACAACCACACCATTTATACACAGCAACGGTTGACGGCGGCCTATATTGATAATCAACACTGCTGTAGGTATTAAGTGAAATACTGGGATGCAGTGAAACGTGCCCTTTCTGATTATTCCTCTCCAACTGTCAGTGAAGAACCTGAATTAGTCTGTTTCACAGTCCCTGAACCATAGTATTTTCCCAGCCCTTACTGTAACGCTGTAGTCATCTTCCCGAGGCAAAGGAGTTAACCGAGTATAAAAGTCCAGTTTCTACCCTTGCCGAACTAGGCTGGAGGGACTGTATAGTAATGTGAAGTGTTTACCCGACAGAGTAGACTAGACACTTGCTGGAGGGCTGTATGGTAATGTGAAGTGTTTACCCGACAGAGTAGACTAGACAATTGCTGGAGGGACTGTATGGTAATGTGAAGTGTTTACCCGACAGAGTAGACTAGACACTTGCTTGAAAGGCTGTATAGTAATGTGAAGTGTTTACTCGACAGAGTAGACTAGACACTTGCTGAGGGACGGTATAGTAGTGTGAAGTGTTTACTCGACAGAGTAGACTAGACACTTGCTGGAGGGACTGTATAGTAGTGTGAAGTGTTTACTCGACAGAGTAGACTAGACACTTGCTGGAGGGACTGTATAGTAGTGTGAAGTGTTTACTCGACAGAGTAGACTAGACACTTGCTGAGGGACGGTATAGTAGTGTGAAGTGTTTACTCGACAGAGTAGACTAGACACTTGCTGGAGGGACTGTATAGTAGTATGAAGTGTTTACTCGACAGAGTAAACTAGACACTTGCTGGAGGGACTGTATAGTAATGTGAAGTGTTTACTCGACAGAGTAGACTAGACACTTGCTGGAGGGACTGTATAGTAATGTGAAGTGTTTACTCGACAGAGAAGACTAGACACTTGCTGGAGGGGCTGTTTAGTAATGTGAAGTGTTTACCCGACAGAGAAGACTAGACACTTGCTGGAGGGGCTGTTTAGTAATGTGAAGTATTTACCCGACAGAGTAGACTAGACACTTGCTTGAGGGGCTGTATAGTAATGTGAAGTGTTTACCCGACGGAGTAGAATAGACACTTGCTTGAGGGGCTGTATAGTAATGTGAAGTGTTTACCCGACGGAGTAGAATAGACACTTGCTGGAGGGGCTGTATAGTAATGTGAAGTATTTACCCGACAGAGTAGACAAGACACTTGCTGGAGGGACTGTATTCCCGATCGTTGCACACTTCCCATCCTCCGTCACTCAGTTTACCCAGGCGGATGATGTCTTTACACAACACACCAACATTATCCACAAACCTGAAATAAAAATAAGATATAATAGGGTATGAGTGTGTCCTAAAGGAATACAATTATAGTATAAACCACACAAAATTCCCCTAGACACAGACAGGTGAGAGAGGAAGGTTACCTGTGACGCATACAAGAGAGATAGGAGGGTTACCCGTGATACAGATAGGTAGGAGAAGAGGGTTACCTGTGATACAGTGAGGTCAGTCAGAGGAGTGTTACCTGTGATGCAGACAGGTGAGAGAAGAGGGTTACCTGTGATTCAGTGAGGTCAGTCAGAGGGGTTATATATACAGACATGTGAGGAAGGAATGTTACCTGTGATACAGACAGGTTAGAGAGGAGGGTTACCTGTGATACAGTGAGTTCAGTCAGAAGGGATACATATGATAGTGACAGGTGAGAGAGGAGGGTAACCGTGATGCAGACAGGTGAGTGGAGGATTACCTGTGATACAGACAGGTGAGAGAGGAGGGTAACCGTGATACAGACAGGTGAGAGAGGAGGGTTACCTGTGATACAGACAGGTGAGAGAGGAGGGTTACCTGTGATACAGATAAGTGAGAGAGGAGGGTAACCGTGATACAGACAGGTGAGAGAGGAAGGTTACCTGTGATACAGACAGGGGAGAGATGAGGGAGGCCTGTGATACAGACAGGTGAGAGAGGAGGGTTACCTGTGATACAGTGAGTTCAGTCAGAAGGGATACATATGATAGTGACAGGTGAGAGAGGAGGGTAACCGTGATGCAGACAGGTGAGTGGAGGATTACCTGTGATACAGACAGGTGAGAGAGGAGGGTAACCGTGATACAGACAGGTGAGAGAGGAGGGTTACCTGTGATACAGACAGGTGAGAGAGGAGGGTTACCTGTGATACAGATAAGTGAGAGAGGAGGGTAACCGTGATACAGACAGGTGAGAGAGGAAGGTTACCTGTGATACAGACAGGGGAGAGATGAGGGAGGCCTGTGATACAGACAGGTGAGAGAGGAGGGTAACCGTGATACAGACAGGTGAGAGAGGAAGGTTACCTGTGATACAGACAGGTGAGAGAGGAGGGTTACCTGTGATTCAGACAGGTGAGAGAGGAGGGTTACCTGTGATACAGATAAGTGAGAGAGGAGGGTAACCGTGATACAGACAGGTGAGAGAGGAAGGTTACCTGTGATACAGACAGGGGAGAGATGAGGGAGGCCTGTGATACAGACAGGTGAGAGAGGAGGGTTACCTGTGATACAGTGAGTTCAGTCAGAAGGGATACATATGATAGTGACAGGCGAGAGAGGAGGGTAACCGTGATGCAGACAGGTGAGTGGAGGATTACCTGTGATACAGACAGGTGAGAGAGGAGGGTAACCGTGATACAGACAGGTGAGAGAGGAAGGTTACCTGTGATACAGACAGGTGAGAGAGGAGGGTAACCGTGATACAGACAGGTGAGAGAGGAAGGTTACCTGTGATACAGACAGGTGAGAGAAGAGGGTTACCTGTGATACAGACAGGGGAGAGAGGTGGGTTACCTGTGATACAGACAGGTGAGAGAGGAGTGTTACCTGTGATACAGACAGGGAAGATAGGTGGGTTACCTGTGATACAGACAGGTGAGAGAAGAGGGTTACCTGTGATACAGACAGGTGAGAGAGGAAGTTTACCTGTGATACAGACAGGTGAGAGAAGAGGGTTACCTGTGATACAGACAGGGGAGATAGGAGTGTTACCTGTGATACAGACAGGTGAGCGAAGAGGGTTACCTATGATGCAGACAGGTGAGAGAGGAGGGCAACCTGTGATACAGGCAGGTGATATAGGAGGGTAACCGTGATACAGACAGGTGAGAGAGGAGTGTTACCTGTGATACAGACAGGAGAGAGAGGAGTGTTACCTGTGATACAGACAGGTGAGAGAGGAGTGTTACCTGTGATACAGACAGGTGAGAGAGGAGGGTTACCTGTGATAAAGACAGGTGAGAGAAGAGGGTTACCTGTGATGCAGACAGGTGAGAGAGGAGTGTTACCTATGATACAGACAGGTGAGAGAGGAGTGTTACCTGTGATACAGACAGGTGAGAGAGGAGGGTTACCTGTGATAAAGACACGTTATTTGTTTGTGTGTTAAATTCTGAAGGATGGTATCCGGCGGTATTTCGATAAATCCATCGTTGTTTGTAAACCCATTCAAGCAGTCTTGTGCAAGAAACACCTTGTTTTGTTCTCGCTGAAGATAACAGAAATAGCATTTTAAATCAGAAATAATTCCTTTGAATGCCTTAGGTTTCACTCCAAAATTGTCTCCACACATTCTCCATATATGTCGCCTGTGTAGACTACTTGACTTGTGTATTAAGTACAGTAAAATACGGTTATAACGAACTCGCTTATAACGAACTGACTGATATTACGAACTTATTTCTTGGTGACGTCTATTTGCTGTATATATTATGTATATATGCTTATTATGAACTACGGTTATAACGAACTAAAATGAGTGGCCCCTTTGAGTTCGTTATAACCGTAGTTTAATGTACAACCTCCAGTGGACAAGACATACAAAGATAATAGCCGTAGGAAAGCATTTTATACTCATATTAATAACCCCAGTACCTATACAGTGTAATATTGTTAGCGGGAATACAACTACCCCTTCAAGTCTGAATGAACGATTGTGGAGAAAAGTGTGCAAGGTACACCTGGAACGTGTTTGATGATTGCATCGCTTCACGTCGAACTTCAGGATTCATGTAGTTTGTTTGTTTGTTGTTTAACGTCACACTCAGCAATATTCCAGCTATATGACGGCGGTTTGAAATAATCGAGTCTGCACCAGACAATCCAGTGATTGACATCACAAGCATAGATCCACGCAAATGGGATACGATGACATGCATCAACCAAGTCAGCGAGCCTGATCACCCGATCCCGGTAGTCGCCTTTTTCGACCAGCATGGGTTGCTGAAGACCTATTCTACCCCGGATCTTCACGGGTCAAGGAACACAATCAGGGTTGGGACCTACGACAATGTGATCGTGCCACGTTTAAGGGAAAACCCGCACATCGATCCCAGCGCCATGGACAACATTTCCCAAAGAATATATATTTAATAAAAATAAATCACCCCAACCCATTGCTATCCCTTTCGCAGCTCTAGCAGTCGATACTCAACACTATTTCAGCTCGTGGAGTTCAGATATTTCAAGGTGTCTTCATACTCAAGGGTTCCTTTAAAGAATTATTTTTATTTAACCTTATACACAACTTTATTTCGGGAACTGTATGTTAGCCTAGTGTTGTGATACTTGTCTTACCTGATAGGTGAGGGTATTTCCAGCAGGGGGCAGGCCTTGAACAATCTTTCCAACTTTTTCGTCCCATGTTTGAGTTGACTGATGGGAGGATACAGACTTTTTCCAGACAACAACGGCTAGAAAGGTTCCAATTAGAAGAAAAAACATCCAACTTCTGCTCCTGCTAAAATGATAAAAGACGTGTATTTGTTTGTTTTTGTCTAAGCCGTTTGTTTGTTTCATTCAGCAACAGTAGAGCCATACGTGCGTCGAATTTTGACAAAACCCTGATATGATTATAATGACAAGAAAGAAGAACAAAGTGGAACCAAAGTGACTTTTATTTTACCCTAACTATATGTGACACTTTTTAGAGTAGTATTAAACATCCTTGCAGATTTGTAACGATAGCTTAGAACTATATACTGAATCTGAACAGGAGAAGTATACGGTAAATATGTAGGGATATATTTCTGAGCCTTGAAGGAGTGTTTTGGGCCAAGTAAAGAGGGGTGACACTGACTCCATGCTGAAAATGACTTTCAAGGGATTAAATAGAGCCTGCTACACATGCACAAAGGATGGATAGGTCAACATGGGGTCCTTAAGTCAATAAGGGACAGGCTATTTGATATTCTTTGGGGGGAGGGGGTATCCAAAAAAAAAAAATTCCCCGAAAATAATTGAAAAAAATAAACTTGAGACTGTTAATAATAACGAAAATGCCTGTCAAAAGGACATTGTTGCAAGTTGTTTTTCTCAAAACACATGCAGGCTCATAGCTTTAAATAAAAACATATGTCAGGTTGTAGCTGTAGCTGAGAATATATCTAATCTCCCCGCCCCCCGCCCCATATCTCCCCCGAACAAAATCAAATGGTCGGTCCCCAAGAGCTTCTATTATAGAATGTGAGTGCACCAATTGTGCCAGACGATTAGGTTTTCCTTTGATGATTTTAATGTTAACTTTCTATTTCTGTATGCGTATTAATTCTCTGAGCATCTTTTGGTCCATTTTGTAAACGTATACAGGTAAATGTGGCTGTATGAGATGGAGGTGGATGTCCTTTATTGACAGATGTTCATTTAGTTTGATCCTCTCTCAGTGAAGGTTCATATTTCAATGAACCCAACAAATGAACAATTTTTATACTATTTTGCATCATCGTTTAATATTTCGTATGCTTTTTACACTATATCATTTCATACGCGTGACCTCATGTACACTCTTATAACCATTTAGCTACCAACTGTTGGCGGAAAGAAATAGTTCCTCAAAGCAAGGGATTATATGAGCGTCTTAAGGCTCCAAATGCCCTACAGTTACATACTTGTTGATACTATCATAGTTAGAAGAGCAATGTCTGTTAAGATTTGTTGACCTCATGTACACTCTTATAACCATTTAGCTACCAAGTGTTGCGCGGAAAGAAATAGTTCCTCAAAGCAAGCGATTATATGAGCGTCTTAAGGCTTCAAATGCCCTACCGTGACATCCGTGTTGATACTATCATAGTTAGAAGAGTGATGTCTGTTAAGATTTGTTTGTTTGTTTGTATAATGATTAACGCCACAATCAGCAATATTCCGGCTATATGACGGCAGCATGCAAATAATCGAGTCTTGACCAGACAATCCAGTGATTGAGATCATGAGCATCGATCCACGCAATTGGGATACGATGACATGCATCAACCAAGTCAGGGAGCCTGACCACCCGAACCCGTTAGTCACCTCTTACGACAAGCATAGTTGCCTTTTACGGCAAGCACGGGTTGCTGAAGACTTGGTCTACCCAGGATCTTTACGGGCCGATTTATTCTATGTGACTCTTTTCTTCATCAACATGGGCAAGTATCATCAAGTTGGTACCTTGTCAACACGAAGAGTTAAGTTTGACGATTATCCAGTCAATTAAACTGAATAATTGTGTACACCCTTTCGCTGCAACACTTAAAAGCACATGTTTCATCAACTAAAATCGTCTACATCTTCCTAAAATATATGACCACATGATAAATGCAATAAAATATTATAAAAAGTCTTCATCCTGGCGAAACTTCTGAGATATCACGAACTATTAGGCGCTACAATAACCAAAGATAACGTTTTGATGTGTAGTATAAAACACGTCAGAGGGTTTTCGTGGAATTTAAAACCCGAATTCAAGGGTTTTATCACTTTTATTCGGGTTTTTAAATCTCATAAAGACCCGAGAATAAGTGGAAGTGTTTTGATATCATGAGCATCGATCCACGCAATTTGGATAGTATGACATGCATCAACCAAGTCAGCGAGCCTGACCACCCGATCCCGTTAGTCGCCTTTTACGACAAACATGGGTTGCTGAGGACCCATTCTAACCCGGATCTTAACGGGTGGCATGTTTTCATAACCACAATAGTATTTCTTAACAATTAAATGGTAAACAACAAGATCTAACTTCCGATGATTACACTGTTTTGAATCAGAATCAGTTTATTCTCAAAAAAACACAAAAGGTGGTACAAGAGCATATTACAATAAATGATTGTGTATATGTACAAAAAGCAGACAAGATGGCAGTTAATAACATGTGATTACCTAGCATTTTTAATACTAATGGACATTTTTACAATAAATCTCGATAAATTCTTTAGATCCCGTGAGAGAAATGTTTGCCTCTCTCTTTTAAAAAAGTTATATCTGAATAAGTAGTGAATTTCATCAGCAATAGATTGAGAATTACATAATTTACAAGTTCTTTTTTCCTTTGGATTATATTTCCATCGGCCAGTCTCATTAGGTAAGTGATGATTACAGGTTCGAAATCGTAGTATTGGAATTGCTATTCGTTTTGGCAATAGAAGATATTTATCGAGAACCGGAGTGTCCTTTAAATTTGTATAATATCATCCTTTAGAACTAGAATTAACGTCACTTTTCCATTTCTGGAAACGGATTGTTAAATACATAAGATAATTCAATACTATCTAATATATCCATAACACATCTAACCCAGGGATTTGTTGATGCAATAATCTTATTCCTATTAATTGACAAATATTGATATAACATCTGTGAAAGTTTATACACACCAGTTTGATATGTTAATTTGTGCCAGAAAGATATCATTCGTTTACAAATTATTATTCTTAATGGCAGCCTACCTAATTTGCCATATATCATATAAAGAGGAGTTGAATTTCTTAATCCTGTGATAAGTCTGAGGAATTTGAGGTGTATTCTTTCTATAATTTCTAAATTTTCAAAGCCCCAGATTTCTGAACCATGATTTAATATTGGTAATACCATCGTATCAAAAGCTGATAATACACAGTCCAAAGATAAATTTAATTTTTTTATCTTTTTTTATCAGACAAAACATTGCTTTCAATGCATTATCACTGAGGGACTTGAGACCAGTTTTCTATTTCTTGTGAAACACAATTCCTAAATACGTATAAGTGTCGACAATATCTAGGGTTTTATCAGAATAGTGAAATTTATGTTTCGAATTTTTCGATGGGCCACCACCGAAAATCACAATTTACACTCTCCACAATATTCATTAAAAGTGTCTTAGGCTTTCTGTAAACCTTCTGGTGATTCATCAAATAATACAGCATCATCTGCATACAATAAAATTATGAATCGGGTCCATACAACTAAGTCTTTATCTTCATCGTAGTTCAGATTAACTCCTCCACACCCAGATGAAAGCAAAAAGGTCTCCACGTCATTTATGAAAATTGAGAATAATAGAGGGGATATGTTTTCTCCCTGTCTGACACCTATATTACAAGGAAAGTAACCTGACATTTTATCATCACACTGTATCAACGATTTAATATTTTTATACATATTTTGAACTAACGTTAGAAATCTACCTTTGATGCCAATACTCTGCTTTGTCTTACAACGACGCTACGGATGAATGTGATCGAGTCGGTCCAGTCCAGTTGGTACCTGATGTATATACTTGCCTCGAGAACGTGCATTTCGTAATCCGAGTTGCCATGAGCGAGATGCACGTGCCACAAGCACGGGGAACATATTTCACGTGCATCACGCAGGGTCGGCTCACACAGTGTTCTCAGGGTTAAACAGTAAAAACGGTTATCAAATCATTGTTGTTTAAACATTTTAGATGTTTAGGTTCTCCAAATGATGGTCATGGTTTAAGTAGGTTAGAGCACTCGGACCATGGTGTCTAATCGTTTAAATGGTTAGTTATGGTCCGAGGTGCGTAACATTAATAGTACTTACTGTGAAATGGCCATATTATCCGGGAGAGAAGGAGCGAGGCACAGCCAAGGCGAGTCACTGTGCCGTGCACGCTTCAAGCAATTGTGCGCAAAGCTGGGATCGAATATGAATGCCGCGCACGTTAACTCACCAACTAGCTTGTTCTGGGGTCAAGTGGTTTAGTAGGCTCAAATCAATGCCTTACAAATTCATTCTGGTGTGGTGTGAGCCTTGGCTCCGGTCACCCCCCTACTAGGCCAAAAACACTCACTCAAGGCTCATATCACTTCCCGTTTGAGCTCAAATTAATCCCCTACATTTTTAAAGAATTCTACTTCTCGTGTTTAGTTTGGCATATATTTCTAAAGGTTTAAATGATCATGTGACCTTCTTACCTTAAAAGGTAGTAGCTGATGGTTCCATTGTGGACATAGATTATTGTTTGTGTATTGTGGATAGGTGTGCATGAACTGATCTATATGTAACGACAAAAATAAGGGAACTAATGATTTGAATGTGGCTATTGTTCTAGTGTTCATTTACAGCACCGTGGCGTTGCATCTGAACGCAACATCTAACCACAATGACATTTCACATCATGCATGAACAGCACGTGATGCACGTGCACACAGAAGGCAAAGTGTGTACATCTTTTGGGGAAGACACAATCACGAATGCAATTGAGCAAAGCACACGCTCAGAAATGCCACCGAGACAGTATCGCATTGCACTCAATGGCGAATTGGACCCCTGAAGATCCCGGTAGAATAGGTCTTCAGCAACCAGTGCTTGCCGTAAAAGGTGACTATGCCTGTCGTAAGAGGCGACTTACGGGATCGGGTGGTCAGGCTCGCTGACTTAGTTGATGCATGTCATAGTATCCCAATTGCGTAGATTGATGCTCATGATATCAATCACTGGATTGTCTGGCCTAGACTAGAATATTTACAGACCGCCGTCATATAGCTGGAATATTGCGGCGTTAAAAACAAACTAACAAACAAACATCAAACAATAGTCATCTCGTTAAGAACCATTGATGTAGAAATATAAAATGTTAATGTCAGAAAATAACCAGCCTCAGATGAATAAACAAAGTTAAGCCGAAACCGTAAGCTCTGAGTTTTCGTGTATCCAAGCTGGGACCTTGTCTGTATCCTATGTATGAAATGTGTGTTCATGCAGGACGCATTTCCAGAGAAGACGCATTTACCGAATAAGGATTTCTGCCTTCCTATTATCGCGTTGTTTACGTATCATTAAATAGACAGGGTGATAGTACGAAGACACGATACTACGATGTGAAGCCGCACTATAAACGTGAGATGATAAATAGGTACGATGTGATGCTACGATGTGACGACACAATATAACGGTGCGATGATATGATATGATGCGGTGACTCAAAAGAAAGATTCGATGATACGAAGGTACCATGTGATACTACGAATCGGTGACACAATAGAACGGTGTGCTGATACGAAGGCACGATGATATACTTCAAATCGGTGACACAAAAGAAAGATTCGATGATACGAAGGTATGATGTGACGCTACGAATCGGTGACACAATAGAACGGTGCGCTGATACGAAGGCACGATGTGATACTTCGAATCGGTGACACAAAAGAAAGATTCGATGATATAAAGGTATGATGTGATGCTACGAATCGGAGACACAATAGAACGGTGCGCTGATACGAATGTACGATGTGATACTTTGAATCGGTGACACAAAAGAAAGATTCGATGATACAAAGGTACGATGTGATACCACAAATCGGTGACACAGAAAAGAAAGATTCGATGATACGAAGGTACGATGTGATACTACGAATCGGTGACACAATAGAACGGTGCGCTGATACGAAGGTACGATGTGATACTTCGAATCGGTGACACAAAAGAAAGATTCGATGATACAAAGGTACGATGTGATACTACAAATCGGTGACACAAAAGAAAGATTCGATGATACGAAGGTACGATGTGATACTACAAATCGGTGACACAAAAGAAAGATTCGATGATACGAAGATACAATGTGATACTACGAATCGGTGACACAATCTAACGGTGCGTTGATACGAACGTACGATGTGATACTTCGAATCGGTGTCACAAAAGAAAGATTCGATTATACGAAGGTACGATGTGATACTACGAATTGGTGACACAATAGAACGGTGCGTTGATACGAAGGCACTATGATATACTTCAAATCGGTGACACAAAAGAAAGATTCGTTGATACGAAGGTACGATTTGATACTGCGAATCGGTGACACAAAAGAAAGATTCGTTGATACGAAGGTACGATGTGATACTACGAATCGGTGACACAATAGAAAGATTCGATGATGCGAAGGTACAATATGATACTACGAATCGGTGACACAATAGAACGGTGCGCTGATACGAAGGTACGATGATATACTTCAAATCGGTGACACAAAAGAAAGATTCGTTGATACGAAGGTACAATATGATACTTCAAATTGGTGACACAATAGAACGGTGCGCTGATACGAAGGCACGATGATAACTACAAATCGGTGACACAAAAGAAAGATTCGTTGATACGAAGGTACGATGTGATACTACGAATCGGTGACACAAAAGAAAGATTCGTTGATACAAAGGTACGATGTGATACCACAAATCGGTGACACAGAAAAGAAGGATTCGATGATACGAAGGTACGATGTGATACTACGAATCGGTGACACAATAGAACGGTGCGCTGATACGAAGGTACGATGTGATACTTCGAATCGGTGACACAAAAGAAAGATTCGATGATACAAAGGTACGATGTGATACTACAAATCGGTGACACAAAAGAAAGATTCGATGATACGAAGGTACGATGTGAAACTACAAATCGGTGACACAAAAGAAAGATTCGATGATACGAAGATACAATGTGATACTACGAATCGGTGACACAATCTAACGGTGCGTTGATACGAACGTACGATGTGATACTTCGAATCGGTGTCACAAAAGAAAGATTCGATTATACGAAGGTACGATGTGATACTACGAATTGGTGACACAATAGAACGGTGCGTTGATACGAAGGCACTATGATATACTTCAAATCGGTGACACAAAAGAAAGATTCATTGATACGAAGGTACGATTTGATACTGCGAATCGGTGACACAAAAGAAAGATTCGTTGATACGAAGGTACGATGTGATACTACGAATCGGTGACACAATAGAAAGATTCGATGATGCGAAGGTACAATATGATACTACGAATCGGTGACACAATAGAACGGTGCGCTGATACGAAGGTACGATGATATACTTCAAATCGGTGACACAAAAGAAAGATTCGTTGATACGAAGGTACAATATGATACTTCAAATTGGTGACACAATAGAACGGTGCGCTGATACGAAGGCACGATGATAACTACATATCGGTGACACAAAAGAAAGATTCGTTGATACGAAGGTACGATGTGATACTACGAATCGATGACACAAAAGAAAGATTCGTTGATACGAAGGTACAATATGATACTACGAATTGGTGACACAATAGAACGGTGCGCTGATACGAAGGCACGATGATAACTACAAATCGGTGACACAAAAGAAAGATTCGTTGATACGAAGGTACGATGTGATACTACGAATCGGTGACACAATAGAACGGTGCGCTGATACGAAGGTACGGTGCGATAACGTAAGAGATGGGTCGAATCCGTCGGGCCAAATTTACTAATTGTGCCATAACACCAGTACAATGTCACAGTAGGGAAGAAATGATTATCAGGACCTTTGGATATGATCATGTTAATTATAGCTGAAGTGCGAAATCTCGCCATTGCGACCGTTACAATGCCAACACAACCAGAGACGGTTAAGAAGAGGTTCTCGTTTCTTAAATGTATGACTATGTTTATTCTGGTTCAAGTATTCTGACTGGAAAATGCCCAGAGTAATAATGCCAATATAACCAGAGGGACAGCTATTAATAGTTTGTATATTTGGTATTCACTGGTGCAAAGAGATAGGTTTCATTTTGCAAGCGGTAAACCATTCAACAGGAGGAGCAATATGTATAAAAGTATAATGGTCAAAATAGAAATTCTAAAGCACTGACACCAGGTAATCCGTGAATGTGGCTACGACTTGTATTTGTTGTTGGGTACACTACAAAGAGTTATAGAATGTACTTCAACAGCATCTATTGTCAAATGCATGAATACATGCCTAGTCCATGACAGCCCATATGTCGGCCAGATTAAGGCGAGGTGAGGTGAAATGGGGTTCAATGTCGCGTCCAAGATTATTGCACTTATACAGCGACGTGCATGTATGTGTATGTGTCTGTGTGGCTGCTTGTACTAGTCCGGACTCATGCCGGTTTTATAGTGCTAGCCCACTCAGATACCATGCCACATTTTAACATGAATACCCCACTCAGACACAGTATAGTGACTCTCACGGCAAGCATGGGTGCCGAAGATCGATTGTACCCGGATGATTATGGATAGCGTCGTGGACACACAAGGAGTCGAACAGGAACCAAATGACAACACACAGACACACAGGCACACAGACACACAGACACACAGTCATAATGTCATGTAGAGCCGTACAAATCTTAAGATATTTTGTACAAGTTTGAAACAGGCGATCACCAAAACAGAAACAAATAATCCACCTCATTAAGAGTACGGAAAACTTAGCATGTCTTTTAGGTTCATAAAACATACAATATATTATTAAGTGACGCATTCGAATGCGTAGACGAGACAACTGTCACGTGACCTGTGTCATACGCAGCCCACCAAGCTGGTCCCCCTCTTCATATCACAATGTATAAAGTGACGATGCGCATAAGAGAGTCGAAACTAGACTACACAACGCGCCGCCTAGTCGCTGTTGCCATGATTACAGAGGCGCACAATACGCTTAGACACCATGACCTTCGTTGGCTATGTATCTTCAGCATCAAATAA